CCCGCCCTGTCCCCTTGCTCTTCCTTGGCGTGGAGCTCTGCCTCGGGGCGGTTTCCGTAGCCGCGTTACAAATAGCGCAATGAAAAGAAGCGTTACGGAGTGTACGTGTGACCGGGGGGAAGGGCGGGGTGGGGCGGGTTCTGTTTAGTTCAGGTTGCCTGTGCTCCTCTCCTTCAGGATAAGGAGAAGAAGAAGAAGGAGAGTATTTTGGACCTCTCCAAATACATCGACAAAACAATCCGAGTGAAGTTCCAAGGCGGGAGAGAAGGTGAGCCCCGGCCCGGCGCTGAGGCGTGCGCCTCTGCAGCGTGGAGCCTGCTTTGCCTTCGGGCGTTTCTCCTCCTCGCTCCGTGCTCGTCGGCTTTTGTCCCCCGTGGGTCGCGTCGCTTGCGTTCAGGGAAAGACGATGAACAGAGGGTGCTGGTATTCGTTGCTGTTTGCCGTTACCGGCGTGGAGCTTATCTCCATTAATCTCCTGGCTGCAAGTTTATGTTTCATCCGTGCACCTTTCTTTCATCTTCTTTTATTAGTTGTCTTCGACTTTCCTGTTTATTTTGGCAGTTTTTTCACATTACAAGGGTGAACTTAAAGCAGCAAAGAAGCATTTATGGGTGCTACGATTAATACACCTGTCAAACCTTTCATCTCTTAGCATGCTAAATGCGCCTGGAGTTCATAGATTGTTTCAATATATTTCACCGTGTCTTTTCATCACTTTCGAGGCTCCTACGTCGTCGTTTCTTCCCCTTACTTGCTCCCTTGCCGTATCCGCAGCTATCCCTCCCGACGCTGCTGGTAGTGCCACCTGCAGACCACTTGTTTGTCGGAAAGTTAACAGCATGCTGCGTGGGAGGTGCTCGGCAGAAGCTTTTGCTAAAGCAAACTCGGTTTGCTTTTAAAAATCTCTTTTTAAAACTCCACTGGGACCAGATGCTTATGAGGTTTTGGAAGTTACTTGGACTCCTTACTGATAAATGTGGGCTTGGGGTTATTTTTTTGTAGTTTTTGGGCACTTGCCAATTCCATTGAATTTATTGGTTTAGATTTTTTTTCTCAAAAAAATTCATGCCAAGTTCCTTTATGATCTTCATGTAACACCTGGGATTGTAAAAGTCTTTGATTTAACAGCCCCTTTGATTTGGGCTGTTAGCAATGATAGTAATGCTGGTAATCAACAAGTATTTTTCAAACTGGGGAATGATTCTGTGTGGTCTTGCAATTTATTTAGTGACCAGTTTTGTGGAATCATGTTCTGTTTTAGGACAAAGTGGTTGTCTGTCTGCAGTGCATTCCAGTGAAGGCAGTGCTTATGCTAAAGAGGTTATGTTCCAGGAGGGCACCTGGAAGATGGGTTTTCTGAGGAAAACACTTCAAAATATTACAGTCTTGCCTTATTTTTTTGCCATACCCCTTCACTAAGGGTATTTATTTGGTTTTGGGTGTGGGTTTTTTTGTGGTGTGACTTCTATTGTTTTGTTATGCTAAAGTATTCTTAAAAGGCCCCTGAAATTGGCTGAAAACAAAAATGGTAGTGTCTTGAAGAGCATTTTGAAGAATTGGTTGAAAAACCTGTAAGTTTTAGTTGGCACAACACAAACTGGATTCTTGTGCATTTGTGTGTTGATAAAGAGGACACTTTAATACCTCTGGTCTCATTTGCTTGATAGCCTTGCTTGAAGGAGGGAACAGAGCTGGAGAACTGAATGTGTCCTTCACGCAATCTTGTGTTGCTGTATAACTGGTTTTGGTCTCTAATCATTGTTTTGTGTGTGGTCTTCAATAGCAAGTGGTGTCTTGAAAGGATTTGACCCTCTTCTGAACCTTGTGCTTGATGGTACCATTGAATATATGCGAGGTAAGTAATATGCTATCTGTGTAAAGCTTCCCCCCCCCCCCCCGAATAATTTTCTTCACAGAAATCTTACAGCTCTGAGTGAATAACCAGAAACTGCAGGTTGACATCATCATCCGAACTGAGACATGTTTGTGATAACTAAGTTGTAAAGAAAGGGATAAGATAGGAGAAGTTAGATTAGGCGCATTCCCTGTGGTAGAACATTCTTGGTAGTTCTTGTTTGAGCTCCTCTATAACTCATTTGGCGTTCTTGTCCTCTAAAGCTTGAATAAAAGTAGTGTGTCTCTTCAGATAAGGCAGTTGCCTTTGCCTTTATTTGTACTGCTGGACGGTTGCTGGTTTGCTCAGAGCAGGAAAAGCTTCTCAGCAAGAACTAGTATCTTACTGTCTTAAACTCTATTGTAAATGCAGTCTTCACATTTCTGTGGAACTAAAGCCTTCTATAGCTTCTCAGAGCTAATAGAGGTGTAGGGTTTTTTCTTTTTATTTGTTTCTTTTTCCCATCCAAGGATAAATACTCCCATTTCCCTTTCTCCTCTCTGAAATAAAATTTATCATATGATAGGACAGTGTTTTTGAAGACTATTCTCTTGCCTGCTTACAAGGAAGCACCTGAACCTTTAATTTTGCTCTTAGAAGGGAGTTTTAAAAGATATGTAGTGCATTTTTATTGAATATATTGACATCTCAAGGAGGGTAGAATTGGCTGTGTTAAGTGTTTGTCTGTCTGTCCCCATCCACAGCCTTGTTTGGCTTGGTCTGGGAATGGACCAGTGCATTCTGTACTTAGTGCATTCTGAAGTCAGGGTCTTTTTCTGATTTGCATTGATCCCAAAATGTTTATCTATAATGACATTTGAAGTGGGATCAGGAGCTTTTTTAATCACTTGTATGTATGCCTTTGTTTAGATGAATGAAAGGGCCTTTGAATTCTTTAAAAGGTATGTTTTCTGCTTTGCATACAAAGCAAAGTTCTTTATTGCTCGCTGTGGCATGTGCTACTTTGAAAATAAGTAAACCAGTAATGTCTTGAAGACATCAGATATTACTGCTGCATCACTTTTATAGTCCATGTGTTCAATAAAACAATGCAGAGATGCCTGGAAAAAACCCGTATGTCTGTGCCTTTTGAAGTTGATGGAATTTGGTTTCTTTTCCCTATGTTGCCTTTGTAACGCTGGATCTCTGCTTTTCAGATCCAGATGATCAATACAAATTAACAGAAGACACACGTCAGCTGGGACTTGTGGTCTGCAGAGGGACTTCTGTGGTTCTTATTTGTCCACAGGATGGAATGGAAGCTATTCCAAACCCTTTCATTCAGCAGCAAGATGGCTGATGCTTTCTTTGGATTGTCTCTGAAGACTTCAAGGGTGCAAATCATCGGAGAAAACTATCATTGTGTGAGAAGCTTCCTGTTTTGGAGGAGGAGATTGAATGTGTATTTGTTAGTGTGAAAGAATGGTCAACTTTTATTTTTGTGGCTTTCCATAAATGATGAGAGGATGGGGCATGGTATGTAAGAAGTAACTTTTGATTACCACCACCACCACCCTCCCCCCCCCCCCCACAAAAATGTGTTTAGAGCTGACAGGAGAGAATATATTGTCATGGAATTTTCTGAGACCCTCTTGATCTTGTGAGTTTTGAAACAACCACATAAAATTAGTAAAGAATGCCCTGAATATTGGTTATATTATTTACATTTTTAAATACATTAAAAATGTATTTAATCTAAAGCCTAAATACATTAGAACATGTTTTTCTTCCTCTTAGATATCAGTACTCAGCTGGGAAGCATTGTGTTGTAGTCTTCCTGCTGTTGAGTTCAGTCTCTCTTGCCTGCTTGCTCCAGTGCATGCAGGAAAGTTACTTTCCTTGTATAGTACCTTGTCATCACCTGTACAAGCTATACAGCTAAGAAGATCTTCTCTAGCACTTGTTCCAGATCTCGTGCACTGTGATCTGTGTATCGGAAGGCTCCCACATTTCTACAGAAGGACTGGACTAACTTCTAGGATGATTCTTGGCTGAGTGACATGAACCTTACGGAAGAATCTATTCAATACTTGGAATTTTAGGGGAAGAATATTTAAGAATCTAATGTTCAATTGTAGGCAGTGTCAGGAAATACTGCATATTTTTATATTGTAGCTATCCGCTTGTGGTTCTGCTTGTTATAACTTGATTTGTAAGTAAAAATTTTTATTTCTTTTATACTGCAGAAATAGCAAGATTTGAGGAGTTTTGAGTGAATAAATATGAATTAATCTGTTCCTAAATGTCTGGTTGTTAGTCTGAAAAAGTGCTCTACAGCTGACATTACAATTCTCCACAGTTGTAAATCTAAATGAAATTTGTTCAGGAGGTGCGTAAACACAGCAAAATCAGGAGGGACCGGATCAGAAGCCGTGTATCCACTCTTAAGACAGGAAATGCATGAGAAATGACTGAGAGCATCTGGTCCTTTTCTGGGACACGTGCATTTCTGTTGGGCATTTTAAAGACTGTCTAGTAGAGGATATGTGCCCATAGGCTGTATGTGACCTGCTTCTGCCACCTGATTTCCTGAGGACCCTTTATGAGGAGGCTGTGGCAGAGTAAATTGTTTTGGTGGCAGCAGTCTTGTTCCTAGAGGTTGTCAAGAAAACATGCCAAGGACAGGTTGTATTGGCTGTTTGTTTTGGCAACAGCACTGTACTCCCATTCATAGCCTTTCCTGGGTCAGCTATGAAATGGGTGGGAACCTGAAGTAAATAAATTCCAGTTCAGTGTATCTGACTTTTCCAGGAGGCTATGAAACTAGGGACCAGTTGTCTTGTGTGGCATATTGCCTGTGTAAACTTGAGTGCTCCTAGGGGTTCATTCTTTGAGTGCTTCACAGAGCTGTCTGTAGGGTCATGCTCCTTCCAACATTTTTTTTTTTTCTAACACTACAAAACTTGTTCTTCATGCAATTGCACAATTCAAAAGAGACTCCTTATTTAGAGTGTTTGGAGCAGAATTTGCTCACCATCAGCCTGAGTAGAGTCTTGAACTGTCCCTTAGGTGGGGGAGAGATTGCTGGTTGTTGATACCAATAACATGCTGCACCATCTCCGTACTCTTGTTTTCTGAGTGTAGTGTCAGAAACAGACCTGCTGAAGTTCTCGAGTTGATTCCAGGCTCTAGATGCAGAGGGTACAGAGACATCTGCCTGAAGTCATGTGTCAAGTGCATAAACTCTGGAGAGGGGCATGTTTCCAGCATTTCCTGCTTATTTAATAGATTGCTCAGTCTTCATTGCAAGATACGTGGCTGTCCTTTTCTGCAGTGCAGACTTGTGGGTTGAATTTGGGAGTCAAGTACCTGAAAATAAGAATATGAAAATGATAGCTGAATTTTAAATGTGTATATGCTTTTCTATTGCATTAATTCCTAAATGTGACTATAAAACCATTTGTAACAGCAGTTTTGCAGAAGCCTCTTCCAGAAATGCAGGAGGGAACCTCCAGGGAAAAAAGGTGCTCTTGATCCAGATAGCACTGTTCTGCTTGCTGAACTCCACCGAGAAATGGGATTGAGTCTTGCTGGGATGGGCTCTTTGGGAAAAGGGGCACTAGTTCAAGGTCACTATGCAAATCTCTCCACTTAATATCTTGGTTTTAACACTTTGGAAAAATTCACTGTGTGGAATCAGTGAACTGGTGCTTGTACTATGACTATATTTATTTAGTGCATTGAGATTGAGGATGACCGAGTATGTGACAGCCATCTGGGTTTGAATGGGGGCTCATTCCTTCCCCCCATCTCTTACTAAAGTATAAAGTTAAATATATACTAAATACTGCAAGCAATCTGGAATTTGATATTCAACCTGAACTGATGAAGAATGTGGCTTTGGGGAAATCAGTGTTTTTTCCCCAGGAAGTCAAGCTTTCCTATGTTCTTGATTCGCAGAAGTGAAAAGTATTGTAACGAGTACTCTTTTCCAAATGGGTTCAATGTTCTTCTACAAATTCCTGATATTTAGTCAGTGCTTAGGAAGGTTTTGGTTGTTCATCCTCTTTCCTCCTTGTAGTCCAGGCTCTTTGCTTGGCTAACAGCTCCCCTGATTTGCTGTGGTCTTACCTGGCTAAGGTAGATGCCAATTAAATCTGTGTTTTTTGGTTATACAGCTCTCCTACTATTGCTGCTCTGAAAGCAGCAGGAAAGACTGAAAAGCAAAGCAGGAGGGTAGAAAACATATTCTATTTTTAGGACAAGATTGGCTTATCTTGTATTTATCCTGGCTAGGGGGATAATGTTTCCAGAGACTGCACATGAGTAAAGACTGCATAAGGGCTGAGTTAATTTTAACTGCCTGGCAGTCAACAAGCATGGAGTCTGCACAAGAACCAGAGGAGCTGGGACCTCAGACAGAAATGATTGCAGACACAATTCTTGAGGTTGGAGAGAGACTCTTTCAGGTCAGCCGTAGGGTACTTTCAATACACAGTCGTTATTTTGAAGCCATGTTTTTTGGGGGGGCAAGAGAGAGCTCTGAACACCACATAGTGATCAGAGGGATTGATGCAGTGCCTTTTCAGACACTACTTGAGTTCACTCACACAGCCCAAGTGCTTATAGGTCAAGAAAATGTGACCAGCTTACTGGAAACGGCTGATTTTTTTCAGTTTGACAGAGTGAAACTTTTGTGTGAGAAATTTCTGGAGAGAGAGCTGCATGTTTCCAACTGCCTGGGCCTGATGACCTACTCACAGCAGTTTGCCTTTATAGAGCTGTACGCATCTGCTATGAACGTGGCGCTCACTCACTGGGGGGATGTGATGTGCCAGGAAGAATTTAAGGCACTACCCAAAGAAATGCTGATGCAGCTCCTGAAAAGCGATGACCTCTTCGTTTCGCGAGAAGATGTGGTTTTTGACAGTATTATGAGGTGGATAACAGAGGACCCAGCAACGAGAGAGGAAGACTTTCTGGATTTGGTGGGCGAAGTCAGGGTCGCTTTTCTGAGTTTGTCCTTCCTCGATATCTTGGTGAAACGCAGCAAGCGCCTTGGAGAGACAGATACCTTTTCCAGATTAATAAAGAAGTTAGACAGCTGTCCTCCACCCAGCTGGCAAAATACGGAACTGTGTCCTTATGCTGGTCGGAGTTATGACACCTTATATGTCCTGGGAGGAAAGCATGACAAGGAACAGCAAGAATTATTTCTCTTTCAGCCTAAAACAGGGACCTGGCAGGCTTGTTCTCCACTGCAGCGCAGGAACCTCACCCAATATGCAGTGGCAGCAGTAGGTAACTTACAAAGAAGTGGGACTGAGCAAATGCAAACAGAAGCTGAGGCTTAGAGACCCAAATGCAGGGAGTTCAGCTGCTTCTCCTGTAAAACTGCATTGTTCAGTGTTGCTAAAACCTCATTCATATTTGCGTTCATATTCGTTCAAAGAATGGTTTTGTTTTCCTTAGTCCTGGGAGAATGTTAGACAAGGCTGAATATTTCTTTTCATATAGCAGCAACTATTGAACTCCTTACATTAGCTTTATCTGGAGTGAGTATAATGACTTAACTTTAAGTAGCATATTTTTTTGGCCGCCTCTTTCATTGTTGTTTTGACAGATGGTGACTTCTAATTTATAGTTGCTGTTAAGTTAAACTTAACCCATGGATGTTGTGAAATCTTCATGCTTGGAGACTTTAAAGACAGCTCAATACTATGGCTTCCCTTATTCAGTGTTGGTGATAGTCCCATTTCAAGTGGGAGTTCGGACATGAGATCCCCAGAGGTTCTTTCCAACCAGTGTTTCCATGATTCTGTTCAAGAGTGGGAGCAGACTTGGAAGGACTTACTGCATCCTGTAGGCCCAGCATATTTGTGCAGATGAGGAATCAAATACTGCAAACTGATACAAAGAGCAGTGATTTTCTCTGCTCATCTTGCACCTCATTTCACCCAGGGAGAAATGAGAACCCTAGATCTCAGGAGCAATTTTCAGCCTTCATGTAACCGATACTTTTCTCTGCTGTCTTTCCAGGGAGCTTCCTTTTTGTGACAGGAGGATATTTCCGGGATGAGTTTGTGTGGTATAGTGTGGATTGGGTGCTTATCTACAATTGCTTGGACAATAGCTGGCTGGAAGGGCCTGCCATGAAGAAGTCCCGCAATAGCCATTGTGCAGTAGGAGCAGGGCTCTACCTGTATGTACTTGGAGGGAGCACAGATGAAGGGATAGTCCCAGCAGTGGAGCGCATGGCTTTGATGGAGTCAGAGTGGGAAAGCATGAGTCCTATGGCTCAACCTGTGGAGAGAGGAGATGCGGTCAGTGTGGGAACCAGGATCTATGTGGTCTGTGGCCTGGATGAAAATGGACATGTATATGATGGAGTGCAAAGGCTGAACACAGAGACGGACAGCTGGGATGTCATCTCATTCTCCCCGCTTCCAAGGTAAGAAATAATCTTCTGTGACCTGGCAGCAGAAGAAAGGTTCTAGTGTTGGTCCTGCTCCAAGAAGAGGTTGGACTGGAGAAATCCAGAAGTCCTGTCCCACCAACACTTTTGAGATTCTCTGTTTAAATGGGACTCTTGATATGAGGACCAAAGTCGCACTGAGTATTTCAGGGACCAGATCTTTCTATTGATTCTGATCAAGGGTTTCTTCCCTCCTAGGTATGACCTCTGCATCACATCACTGAATGGTGCCCTGTACACCATAGGAGGGGGAGCTTTTCGATTTGATGTGGAGACAGATGAATGGACCCAGGTGGATGAGGAATGCTTGACCCAGAAGTTCTTCATGGGATGCAGCACTGTGAATGGACGAATTTATCTCCTTGGACAGAGGAAGGGGAACAGTGTCCTCCCCATTGTAGTCCTCTTTGATCCCTACATTGACATGTGCCAGGTCATAGATAACAAACTCCCTTGCCCCCTTCCTATTCATGGGTGTGCCTCTGTGCGAAGATTTGATACGCGGGCATGAGTGATGCCAGATCCAGCATAACCGAAAAAGAAAGTCATGTGCTTTACAGCTGATGGGAGTTAAATTGTGTCAGGTTTGGTCTGTGAAATATTTTAATTTTGAAAATAGATCTGTTCCTTGGTAACTTTGTCTTTTTTTTTTCTACCTGGCAAATGAACTTGAAGCAAAAGCCAGTGAAACCTTTGTGTCTACACAAAGGTTGCAGGTCATTACTGGAAATGGTGGTCAGCGTTGTTATGGTGCATAAACTCCTCAGGGTTGATGCTAAATAAAGGGCTGCTCTGACCCTTAACCTCTGTGGCTCTCTGTCCTTTGAACAGCTGGGAGAGACAGGAAAGTCATTAGAAGATATTGAAGGAAGAAAATAACAAATCAAATGCCACTGCAGTCAAGCCGTACCCAGTATCAGTATCGTTTTAGCCTGAAATAAGCAAGTTTCCCAGGTTATGTAATTATGGCTAAAATTACCTTTATTCCAGGCTGGAGAGCACCACAGAAGGAGGGAGGCTATTCTGGATTTATGCATTCAGGTATGTGATAACCATTTGCAAACTGGGACACTTAAGAGTCTTGCTTCAGTTTCATTAGTCCCCTTTAGCTCACTGCTGTGCAGACCCAGAATAAAAATCCCCATCCCAAAGCGCTGAAATGAGGGTGCAAGTAGCAGGGACCTGCACGTGGCCTTAATTGAAGACTGTGTATGAGGAAGAGGGTTTGATGGGCAGGACTATGGACTTAGCACAGCAGTAGGGGATAGATCTCCAAGGGCACTCAGTCCTCCCAAGGATGGAGCAGCTGAGAATGGCTGCCATGTGGGTCTGCTTGACTGGACAAGAAGGGGAGAGTGCAACAGCACCAACCTGGGAGGTTGCACTACAAGCATTACTGTCATCTATGTTAGCAGAGTCTGTTCTTTGATGTGATACAGCAGCATTGAAAGGAAAATGTACGTAAGAGAATTCCTGAGCTGAATGATTATCATCTCCAGAGAATGGGAGAGGCCTTAAACACCAAGAGGAGTTGGTTAAAAGCAACCTTGCCACTGTGAGAACTGTGTCAGGATGGCAGGAGCTACTCTACCCAGGCCTGCAAATGTGGAGCCCTCTCAATCCAGGCTGGCTTCCACTCCTTGGCTCTAGTCCATCTATCAGCCTCCAGCCAGGCTGTGGCATTGCCAGCTGCGTGAGCTGAGAGCGGAGTTGGTGCTTCCCCCATGATGAGGCTGGCAGCAATGAAACGCTGGGCTTGTTCTTTGAGTCCGATGACCAGTTGTACTCTTGTGCCCTGGAGACTATATAAATCTTTTAAAAGCTGATACTCTCCTGTATGTATCATTTGGGGCTTTAAAAGAAAGCTTCATCCTCGATGGACAGGGTGAAATAATTCCTGGGCAAACCCTTACACCAGGTATCCTAATGAAGGGTCTTGCACTCCCAGCAAAGTATAGCTAGTCGGGGCTAGGTGACATCCTTCTCAAGGCTGGCGTCCCACGGAGATAAGTGGCTGGCTGCCTTGCTTCCTGCAGATCTGAATGTCAAAATCCTTTAAGGGGATGCTGGCTCAGTTCCTTCTGCCTTTCGCACATCTTTCTTGACTTTATATTTTGACTTGCATAGATCAGATGTGGGAGATGGTTCTTCACAACAGTGTGTTCTAGTTACACCATCCTTCATTCTCCACCTCTTCGCATTTCTCAGAAACAGTTTCCCCTAGTATTTGCGTAAAATATGTCAGACCCCTTGGAAGCATACTCAAAGCCTGAGTAGAAAACATGTTTTAAAGACAGTGTTTGCAGGTTTCTGTATATTGTTTACAGACATACATATGTAGGTTTATCTGTCCTCTGCATTTTCTGAGCCTTTGAGTTAGCAGTGATGTCAGACCTCCAGCAAGTTTCTAAGAAGATTTTCCTACTGGCATAAGATTTGATATTCTAAAAAACTTCTGCATCATGTAAAATCTAGGTAAAACAGACTCTTTGGTTTAGGTGTAATTCATTTTTACATTGACTTTAAATTTTATGGTCTACTATAAATTCTGAAAATGACATCAGATACAACATATTACAAGGTGAAAAGTCATCAAACCCCTAAACTATCCCATTAAAATGTTAATATTGTAACACTTATTTTCCAATTTTGAAAATGAAACCTCAACAGAATTAATACATCCCTGTGGAAAGTTTCCATTTAGACTAAATTATAATTTCTGGTGGAAAAGTGTGCAGTTGTTTTCAATTTTAGGAGCCTTCTCCCTGCATAGACATTCAGTTAGCAAAATCTTTTAGATACATGAGCTATTTTGTATAATTCATACAGCAAACCAGCTTGTATCAGTTGGCCAGGCCTTATTTGCAGAAATGGTTTATCCTTCCCCAAAGCCTGACCATTTTATACTATACAACTGAAAACTTATTTGCCACTTAAGCTGGTGTCTTTCAGATGCAAATCCTTTCATGAGGTGGCTGGCAATGGCTGCCGGTATCTTCTGAAATTGCAAGTAAGTTAAATCTTCAGCAGTTGTAATTTATTATCTCATGAACTTTTGGGAAGGTTTTTGAGATAACCACGGTTAGGTGTCGTAACTTCAGCAGCTTGTTCAACCCCTCTTCTCCTGTTTACAGTGAGACTTTGGCTGGTAGACCTTTTTTTCCTGGATAAATGATCATAGATTAGTAGTAAAAGAATGGTCCCAACAGAAGAAGTGAAGAAAACATCTCCTAAAGTGACTTAACTGCCTGCAAATGCTACAATGAAATTCACTTGCATCTAGACATTGGATGATGCCTCAGGCAGACTACTGTGAAGCCATCTGTTAGCCTGTCTGGCGTCTCCCCCTAGGTCCTATTCAGCCTCCCCGCTTTTAAGAGCCTGCCCAGCTCTTGGTGTTTTGCAGCGAGACCTGCGTTACTCTTTGTTCTTTGCCAGATCCTCTGCTTCGCTCCTGTCACTTTCCTCAGTGTCACTTCTGGCATCTTTTCTTTTCTGTAGGAAAGAAAGACAATTTGAATGAGTTGCAAAACCTATAACATCATATATATTAAGAGGGGACTGGTCCTGTTTTCATTCACAGCACTGGTGTGTTAACCTGGCAGCTAAAATAAAAATAACAGGCGTGATCATGTCCATGTTAAAGCCAGTGTTGCAATTGTCCCTGCATTGGGAGGTTGACTTTGTTATGGTTTCACCTAACTTTTGAACGCCTTTTTTTGTCACCCTAATAATGTTCTTCTAATGTGACCTTCTGAAAATAAGTTAGTATTTATTTTACATATAGTTATTCTCCATATTTTCCTGTGCAGTTTGTTACTGCCAAAGCTCTGAAAGTCAACACATTTGTCCAGTGAGCATATTGACTGGTCTCCTCACTTCGCAATCATCTACAAACTTGTTGAGAGTATGCTCCATCATTTCCTCCAGAAAAACTGTTTTTTCTCTTAAGTTAGCTTCAATGAAGGGGTAGTTCAAGGTAAGCTGAAGGCATAACACCAACACTGTGGTGGGTTTTTTTCTGGCCACAGATCCTCAAAGCCTTTGCAAATCTACTCAGAGGCTACCAAGATGCCATCTGCTTACATTAGCAAGGCAGGCCATGGAACTGGCATCTCTGATGACAAGGTTTCTTCCAATGATCCCTATACAAACTTTTGGCATGCATCAAAAGCCTGTGGAATGCACCCAAAACTCAGAGGTACAAATACACAGTATGCTATCTACCAGGCTTACCTGATTGCTCCTTCCTTACTCCACTTAAGAACCTGTTGGTATGTCCAATTCTCCCAAAACCACATACTGAGAAGCTGCTAGGCAGTGAGGAGAAAGGACCATGGATGGCTCCCATGTCACTAGGACACAGCTGCAAACTACAAGTGAGCTGCTGCTCTGATCTCCGTGAGCAAAGGTATTCACACAACTCCCAACATGTGACTTAAGAAGCTCTCGGGCTGTTTGTTGGGTAGTCCCATTTCTCCCACCCCTTTCCCTGCAGGCATGCAGGAGCCAGCCTGGATCTCATAGTCTCTCATGAGTAGTGGTGGCACAGAGGAGACAAAGATTTTTCATACCGCACCATGGAGGATGACACTGAAGATCATCTGGATGATTAGATAGGACCAGAAAATGTGTAACAACTGCAGGATCATCAGGAAAGTGTTTATCAGACAGCTTATGAGGAACAACTGAAATTTTGTCACAAAGTAATAGTATGTGCTGTGGGAAAGAGAGAGGGAGAGACAAATCAGAAGACACAAGACTGAAGCAGGCCAAATACCTTCACACTTACAAGGGTCAAGCGTCTTTCTGGGCAACTACTTGGCTCCTGTGTCCCCAGGGCAGAGCTGAACTGTGCTAGGACTGCACCATCAGGCTTCACACACTACCCAGCTCTCGCAAAGCATGTCCCAGGTCCCAGAAGACCTACAGAAACTCTGTATTAAAATCACCAACAATGCGATGGTCTTTGCAGTCTGGTTATTGGAAACCTGCAATGCTTCCCAGAAGAAGCAGGAACTGGCAGCGTTTCTCCTAAAATAAATCTCAAGAGGAGCAATGGACAAAAATCAAATCATAACAGGACCTGGCCACTGGCACTTAAATAAAAAGATTATAAATGATTTTTTTAACTGAAGTTAGGGAAGAGTTGAGGGTACAGATGAGCAATTGGGCAGGGCATTATTTTTGGCAGAAGTCACAAACTGTATCATCGGTGACGGGGACAGAAAGGAGGAAAGCACTGGTTTGGAAACAGAGAGCAGACAGAACAGAGAGAGCAGTTCAGCGCAGGAGAGAAATGATGAACACTGGTATGTGTCCTCCTCTGCAAGTTATATCTAAGACATGAAATCTAAGACATATTGGAAGCTGGGAAACATTGTTGGATATAGTGTGTATTTGCTCTGCTCTTGCCCTCCTAGACATCTGCTTCTTGCTGCTGATGCAGACAGGTACTGATGTAGATAGACCCTTGGTCTGACCTGGGACATCTGTTACCTTCTTTGTCCTTATGTTATGATACAGCAGGTTGAGATATTGGGGCTTGAATTTTTGCAGTGGAGACAACTGAAGTCATGGTTATGCTAGTTTCTTTCTCAGGAAAGTTGCCTCAAGTTTTTGTTGCTTTTCTCTCTAAGGGAGCCATTTCACCACCAGAATCTGGGACTTGTTATGCAAAGTCAGCCTCACAGGCGTCCAAACTAAATGGCAGCAGGACCAAAATTCAAAACTCAGCATCTTCAGTGCTGGTATAGAGCCAGGGCAGGAACAGAGGACAGCAATTCAGACTTGCTCCTATGTGTGTATAACATGCCCCATTTTAAAAATTCTTCTGGGTGTAATAAATGAAATGTTTGGTTTTGAAAGAAAACAGAAGCCTTAGACTATAATGCAAGTGTTGTGGAATGAGTTTCTGGGAAGTTAACTGGGATCAGCTTTTTCCAGGTGACTTGGCAGTGGTAAAGAAAGGGGAACAATTCCAGCATAGTTAAAGGCTGGGAGTGTGGTCAGATGCGTGTAGGCAAAAGCCATTCTCCAAGACTGGTGCCTGTGTGTGGCTTCTGGAGGTATCATTGCTGATACTCTCCCAGCAAGTTGAGTATCCTGACTCATGAATTTCGTGTTTTATTTCAAACAGATGGTGGGTCACCTTAAATTACTATGCCATTGTTTCTATATAAATTTTATCTTAATACAGCTTTAAGCAGGCCTTTCTTAATCTGCTAAGAAATTCTTGGGAAATTCTAACCAGTGCAGTCTGTACCTTCTTTCTCTTGTAGGAACCAGTGCTTGCAACAGAAGGAGGCCACACACTGGAAGAGTCACACCAGGTCTTGAGGAGGAGTAGAGGGGAAAAAGGATTACCCTCACCGGTGGCGATGGCTTTAGAAGGATGGAGAAAGACAGTCCTAAAACATTCTCAGTGCCACAATAGCTCATGAGAAGTCAGCTGCTGTGGCTGCATGTAAGCATCTCATCACAGCATGAGAGACAGCCCCAGGTGAGAGACAGTGCCTGCCTAGGAGAGACAGTGAGAGGGTGGGAATGGAGGGGTAGAGGCTGTGGCTCTAGATTAATTAATATAGTTAATTAATTAATAGAGTTAAAACCCTGGGTTTTTTTCTTGGGTTCCTCAGTTCCAGTTGGATTAATCTTTGAGCTCACCTGCAGTGTCCTGTTCCCTGCCTTTCCTCCCCTCAGCATGGAGGGTCATCTCTCCAGAAGCTCAAATAGTGCATAACACCCATGTTCAGAGAACATTAAAATGTAACTCACATTAACGGGAAAACGACAAGCCGGGAGATGATGAAAACCACAGCAAAAACAATAAAGACTGCTTCGCAGGCCTGCTTCCATTTCATGTAATGGAGCATCTTGGCAAGCTGTAGAGAGACAAATTGCCATATGTCCCGTCTGCCTGTGTTCTCCTCCTAGGGGTCTGAGGGATTTCCCACATCCTGCAAGGGTTACCAGGCTTGTGGGCATGTGTCCCAGTCCCTGTGCACTTGCTTACTTTCCCCCAAGAGCAGTAAATCTGATACTTCCTAAATGCACTGGGACTATAGTACACATGTGGCCCACTTGTGTGGGCCACTGCATCCACATGCGTCACGTGTAGTAAGGCACACAGTTCCCAGTGCTACCCACAGACGCGAGCACAGATCTGCATTTCTGTGTGAGGGTAACTCACCTCTAAAATATAATCGGAGGCATCATGGACCAGCATGATTATCATCCCAAACCGTATAAGATTGGCACAGTAGGAGACAAAGATCAGAGTGATGGTGGCGATGTGGTGGATGATCTGTTCCTTAAAGTCCTAGCATGAGAAGAGAGATTGTGTGTCAGTCCTACCTTGACCTGGCAGCACCTATTCCTGGATGCTGCTGCCTCACAAGGACATGTCAAACACCTCCACAAAGTATCAGTGCTCCCCACCATGCTACAGCTCTCTGAGGTCCTGCACAGTCCCAGGAAGAATGAACACCTTTATGCCCAGTTTATGGAAACCCAGATAAATACCAGTGAAGTACACATAGGTGCAAACATGCTAGAAGACAAATTTTATAAATTTTTCCAGGAATCAATATGCCCTAACAAAGTTCCTTTCTTAACACCCCATATTTTCCTCCCAGACCCCTCCACTGTGTATTGAAGAACTTTTTGTAATGACAGTAGATTGCCCTTGCCCTGGGGGCAGGTCCTATCCACTAGCCATAACGGAGGCAGCTCTTCAACCTCCCTGTGCTGCCCATGGAGAGGGACCAATGCAGATAGGCTGGAGATACTGCACGTGGGGAATATGCCTTCTCACATGCCTTACGTAAAGAGAGGACCTTGCTGGATGACTCATGCCTGCATGGACAAATCTGTACATGCAAAAAGGCAATGCTTTGGGGTATGAGATGACGCCTGAGTGCTCTGTGGAGGTATTGGGAAGGGCGGCTCTGGCTCTGGCCAGGGAGGATCACTGCCAGGCAGTGGGTTCCTGCTTCTTCCGGGAAGCATCGCAGGTGTCCAATAACCAACCTGTCTACAAAGACTGTTGCAGTGTTGGTAACTTTAATACAGAGTTTCTGCAGGTCCCCTGGGACCCTCAGCATGCTTTGCGAGAGCTGGGCAGAGCCTATCTCTGGGGAAAAGCATGACGTCTCTGAAGAGAGATGTGATTGTCAAATTAAACAATCAAATGAAGCTGAGGTTGAACTTCAGCTTGTGCAGTTGAACTGCACAGCTCTGTGCAGTCTCCACTGCAGAACAAGGCGAGGGCAACGGTGGATGCTGGGTCTGTGGGTCCCAGGAGGTCAACTCATCCCATGCTGCAAAAGCCACATGTGCATCTACAGGACCCTCATCACAACGGCCCAGCTCCCTCCCATCAGGAGGACACAGCCCTCTGGTTCAGGCAGCACCCGCAACCAGAGCCAGGAAGGGCCATGATGCCATGTTCACCCAGTGGCTGTCCCTTGGCTAGGCGTGGGGACCCCATGTCAGCCCCCGTCACTTCCCTGGCCTAGCAGGCAGGAAGGCCACACCGCACAAGTGCAGGACCCAGGACAAGGTGCAATGGTGGGATATGAGAGCTGCAGGGAGCTCAGGTGCTCATGGGTCTTCGCAGCATGTGTGCCTTGTCCTTTGCACCCCCGGGGAGCTGACAGCGAGAGGGGAGAGCCTCATGGTGGGGGCAGACCAAGCCAGCAGGTTGCAGTTCTGTTGTTGTCACTCACCTTCCTCTTCACATCAAAGGGCAGTGTGGCCACCAGCGAGCAGTAGAAGGAGAGCTCCAGCAGGTAGAACCAGCCCAATGCAGGCGGGAGAGGCTGTGAGACAAGCAACAGGCAGTGTGACACCCCTGCCTAGCCCTGGGGGACAGGAGAGGGGAAGGGTCTTCCTGGGCAAAGCCCCTTCATTCAACCCATGTTTGGGACAGCAGAGCTTGGTCATGCCTAAATTTTCATGTTCCCTGTGACTGAACCATTTGCTGATGCACTGTCAAGCCTAGTCCAAAGCCAGGACCAGCCCTGTCCAGTCTGCAGAGGGACTGAGAGGAGGCGGGGTCTCATCTCCATCCCTGCTTCAAGAGGTCATAGAATCATAGAATAGTTTGGGTTGGAAGGGACCACTAAAGGCCATCTAGTCCA